AAGAGTTGGTGACACAGTTTTCTTCTGTACCCTCTGTTTTCGTATTTGTTGCAGTCAAGATAGCTTCTACACCATACGTGGGAATCGAAGAGCGTGTGGTGGTCAGGCCCATGAAATATTTCAAAGGGTTCTATCGATGCGTGATTAGATTTGGATTCATGGATAAAGTTAAAATTGATAATAAGTTAGTTGCCTCAATTTTAGAAGAAGTGGGTATTCAAGACCCCGAATATTTTTATTCAGCGACCGGAACCCCTCCTATAATGCCTTTGAATGTTTTTCCCAGAGAACACATCAGGGGGAAAAAAAAGTTTACGAGTTTTGAATTAAAAACTGATTTTTTTACAAAAGCTTTGCCAGGAATACTCACTGAAAAGGTCAGATCTTTCATTGTAGAGAGATATTTTGTTCCTCTCTTCAGCATACAAACAGTGCCATCGTCTCTTGTTGCCATTGAATGCAATGAACGTATCATGTATGTTGGAAGTGACATTGAAATATAATGTACACAGAGGGAGAATCGTCTTTGGTATTAATTTGATCTTGAGAAGTTTCCGTGAAAATTAATGGCAACCTTTTCGAATGTGATTATAGAGTTCACAGGAGTACGTCCAGATGAAAGCACTCCGCAAAAAAGAAGGTTTTTTTATATTTTCAACGAAAAGAAGCTGTATTATGGAGTATATAGAGTACTCAGGTAAGAATTTGTCGCTTCCGTAGAAGAAAAACAGGTTGAAAGGTTCACGATACTTCAAAAGTATTGAGAAGAATAGCTTCCAGAATTTGTGCGCGGACGAAAAATGTGTGTTTATATCCATTCGTGAGCAGCTTTATTTTTGTATATACAGGTTTTGTTCATTCGTCTTAATTGCCCGTAAACCTCAAATTAAGCACTTAGTACCTACCGGGTTTTTTTACCTCTTGATTTTGTTAAATTGTTTTGCATATCTCAGCTAATATAGGAAAACTGTTCGATTCGTAGCCAGTTCGTGAAGGGAAGAAGCTCCACACTTCTTTTTGTAAAGAAGTTACGTCGCTTTAACGCATAGTTTGTTGCGCTTTCCGGTTTAAGAAATCAGAAACCTGCATTTTTCTACTGTTCCCCACTTAGTGCAGCATTTACGCCTGATCTCGAGGCAAAAAAAAGAAAGATCGAGGCTACCGTACTGAGTGTTAGTGAAGTAATTATGTGCTCGATTCAGTAAAGACTTATTTATCTTCTTGAGTATCTTGCAGCATGTCCTTGGCCTTGCTGAGAAGGAGTTTAGTTTTCAGAAAATGAAAATGAGAAAACAGCTGATTTTTGTTCAAGCTATTACAGCAAAAATAACAAAATCTGCATTATAAGTATACGTGCAGTAGCACTTCTTCAAGAAGAAGAGATAAATGTCGCGTTTCCAAGATTTATATGGAAAATAGTCGGTCCAGATTTGATACACAGAAATTCCAACAAAACAAAATTGCCTATAAGACACTGGAAATGCTGCTTAGGTAACTTTCCCGCTATATATTTCTTAAGCTTATTAATACGTGCAGCGCGCCAATTAACTTTTGTCATACTAAACCACTGATCTCCCCATTCACGAAAACTTTTTTTTAGAATGTAATAAACAACAGATTATTGAACGTAAAGCGTCGGATACAAGTATAGTAAAAAATTTCAATTGGCGCACGCCAGCAAGCTAACTTTGAGAATTTTGCCCAAGTCACAATATTTTAATGGGCAATAATTAATGACGTCACGTGATCACTGGAAGAAGAAATCGTATAACCGGTAATATCACCGAGCACGATATTGAGCCTTCAGCGAAGACGAGATCATAGAAGTATAACCTAGGATCAGTTTCCAAAGCTCAGCTTTCGCACTGATGGAACCGCTTATTTCATACCAAGATAAGGTAAGCTGGAACCTCGTTAAACTACACGTATAACCTCCTGAGACTGCATGCCCTTTTGAGATCTTCTCGAGCTTCTATTCTGACATAAGCATAAAAATATTGTCGGTTATGTGCTTAAAGCGGTTCCAGACCTCTACCGTCCTCCGAAAATGCAACAGTTGGCAGGCACGCTAAATTCATTTGATCTCAGAACAGAAACATAGTAAAAAATGCGGCTCAAATAGAAACACATCATGAAAATATTGTCATTGTTCAGTAGAAATATGCATTCGTATGCATAAAATTTTATTCTAGTGTTGTCCGATAAGTGCGAAGGAACTCAGTTCGCAGCTCTATGCAGGGTAAACCCCAGTACATCCGTAGGACCCCTTTATACCGATATGGTCCCTTTTAACCCAGATTACAGGATATAAATACGTAATGGATGGCTCTTTTTGCGCTGGATAGTCTTAGCACAAAGATCCAAACGACGAGCACCAGCAATACGGCGCTTTCCCTTTGATGATTACCCTTCTTCTTATTAACCGTTCATCTGTAGTGATAGGGTTCTATTCTTGGATAAAAATTAAAAAATATGGTCCACAAGTAGATCACCTTTGCAAAGTCTCGAGGCTCGTTAGCGCCCGCAGCCATCATGGTACGATAAAATTTTTGCTGTCGCCTTATTATTCGCAAAAAACTCAGTGCAATCGTATAGAGAACGGGCTATCAGACAATTATATCAGACGATTATTCTTCAAACAGAATTTATTTACGTAATACGCGGCCACTTTCAAATTTTAGGTACGTTGAGATTGTTTTTTTCCATTTTAATGATTTTGGATGATAGATGTGGCCGCACGCAAGAATATTGGTGAAAACTGCACTCAACCTACTATGTAAGCGAAGATTCCTAAATCGTCGTATAATCAAGTACCAAATAAGTTGATCTTTGCAGACTTAGTTCATCTCCGACTGCGAGCCAATTTTTTTTTCATCATTTATTGCCTGCCAATGGGGAAACGAGATAAATCTTATTTTTATCAGATCTTTGAAGTATACTCGGAAGCTTTTTTTTCTTTTCAAATTTCAATTCTCCTACTTTACAAAAAGTGAATGAATGGTTTTTTTACCATTGCACATGTCGAAATAATAGTTATTCATATTATAGAATTTAATGGAGGTGATTAGACAAAAAATAGGACTAGAACTGTACCCCATCGAGGCTACAATCCCGCAAAAAACCTCAATAATGGAATTTGATTTGAAAAGCACACTGAATAATATCAACATCTCGACCCCGCAAAGTGCCAAATCACTCGTAAATATATTCGTTACCGATAATTCTACCGAGGAATGTCATCAAAAAAACATGATCAAATCAGGGAATTCTTCATATGTGCCGCTCGAGTTTTTGAATTCCTCTGCTGCTTTAAAGAAAGGCTTATTTGATCAAGAAAATCAGCAGCAAATGTTTAGTGAGTTATCAATGTTACAGCAGATTTCATTCAATAAATTTGAACACCAAAGTTACATTTTAATTCCAATTCAAGCCGATGTGGCATCTGGGATGCAACTAAATTCGTACGATGTATTTCCGGCAATATTCGAACACAGCAACAATGAATACATCTTACCAGCATTTTTCTACCCGCAGTAAAAGTACAAGAAATGGAATTGAAATAATTGTGCTCTATAAGCGGGAAATTTAATAGTATATGCTTTTTTCATAAGAAGCCAAGTTTTTGACAGTAACATTGTAATTAAATTTACTATGTCGGCAAAACCTCGAACGGCGGAAAATCGCTTAGTATGTTAGACTGAAAGTCCATAATGTCCTTAAATTATAGGAAAGGCTCGAATTAGTAATAGTATAATGAGTGACGAAAACAGAAAGAATTAAATCATCAAAGCATGAAGACCACTTTTACAGCTCCTATTTTCATCATGTTTGATATCGAAAGTAGTCAGCGCATAATTTTCTCACGTCTGCCTTTGATTGAAAAAGAAGACAATGTCATAGGCAAAAAGGAGATTCCCGGCATTAGACAACCTCTGTGAATTGGTCACTTGCGTTCTGAAATCACAAAATTTTCTAGGAATTAAAAAATTCAATCCACAAACCATCGGGAAAGACTGAAATATTATTGTCTCGTAATGCTTGGTTACTCAAACATCCCTTAGAAGGTTGTGGTCTAAATTAGAAATTCATTTTATAACAAGCACCTTTTCAAATGTGAGATAAAATATCAAGGTCGGATAGCGCTACTTCATCTAACATTAAAGTCATAAGGTTAATTTTTAGCCGATAGAATCCAGATGTTCTTATTATAAATGCTTACGAGGACTAGCTTTTTCCACAATAATTAGCCCTGGCTTTCTTATTGGGTAAGACTGTTCTTGTATGTCATTTCCTCGTGATCTAATATTTCAAAATTTTTGAGAGTGATGGATCTTCTACAAATATTCTACTTTAAAGTCAATATCCTCAAACAAAAGAACTCTTACCTCAGTTACTCGTGCAAAAGAGAGCTACGTGAACACAGTATAAACAATGTCACTTTGAATCATAATGTTTAATGGCTTTATGAGTATAAACGAATACAATTGTTATCCATAAAACATTACGTTAGTAATGAAAATAGCGCCTCGGAACCGCTTTTCTTCAAGAAGCTCCTGATGAAGCTCTACATTCACCTGTAATAAGAATGGGACATAATTTGTTGTTGAATTGTGTATAACACAATGGGAGTTTGAATTCCACTTTAGCTAAATATTAGCCGTTCAAAATAAATGGTTAGTTTAAAGCCAGATTGAAACGATCTGAGTATTTGCGATGCTGAAGATCTTAACTAAAAAAGATTTTCAATGGATTCAAGAAGGAACAAACAGAAAATATTGAGCCATACCCTGAAAGAAAGTAGCACAGAAAAGAGTACAGTTCAAAGTTAAAAGATTCTTTTTTCTAGTGTCCAGTTCACGAAATGTTTATGGAGCCCTATGTCATAATTTTTGTATTTAGCACTATTGTGAAGGGTTTCACGAGATTGATAAAATGTCCCCTTCCTTTTAATGGCGAATTTGATAGAGCCATGGAATTATATTTACTCAAGGACCCTCAAAAGATTAATATATCTGGGCCAGATTAACTTTCACCATTAACTTATATTCTAATAAATAGTATTTATGATGTGTAAAAATTAAATTTAGAATTTGCAACGGCCATATTAATTGACACTAATTACTTGTATAAAAAAATTCAAAATAGTCATTGTTTTCGCAATCATAAAATATTCACCTTTGTCATTTGCATATGCTGTGCTCAATTGTTCCATAACAAGAATAGCAACATTTCCATTTTCATTGATTTAGCAGCAAGAAACCAATCACTTATTCTTAAATATCAAATAGCGTTCAAATATATGGTGCCCAGAACTACTCGATGCAATGTACGTATCATTCTGTCAAACATAATATGCTAATGTCTGTTCCAAGAACGCCATAAAGTACTGTTATTCGAATAGCTAATGCGAAAGCAATTTTTTTTTCACATCATGTGCTAGAGAGGTGACATGGCGAAATAAAAAGCCCGATGATGGCCAATATAAAAAATACGATTTATCGTTACGATGCATAAAGAGACTTAACAAACACACGAAACATAATTGAAGTAAATGCATTAGTGAAGTGAAATATGAAGGCATAATCATCTTTAAAAGGCGTCTAATGTATAAGAATTTCTGCTTAGAATTGTTCTAGCGAAACTCATGTTTTATGATGCTACTGGTGGCAAGGATTAATATCAGTGTTTATTAATATGTTCTAAGCATGTATGTGCACAAGGACTGTTACCTTGAAGCTTTTCGTTCCTATATACGCGATATAAATTGCTGCGTGCCTAACCGTTTTCTAAAAAAAGCAGCTATCGTTTTTCATGAGGCGCTCTATCGGAGAACCGCTCGTTACAGTTCTGTTTATTTTTTGAAGATTGTAAGACAGAGAAAATCCGCATACTGGGCTCGAGCTCAAGGGTTTTAATCCTGTGCATTGGAGGTGCATGGAGGGAATTAGAGCTAATGATTTACATCAACTCGAAAAGTATCGTACAGAGAATTGAGACGACACGCACTTCTCAATGCTAGCAAGAGCCAAATGGTTGTGTTTAAAGGATCTGAAAAGTATTTGTGACGAAAGTACCTGAAGACGTTCAGCTACAAGCTAAATTTTCAGTAATTGTGCCGGTCATGTAAGCAAGACAGTGAATATGAACTTTACGAGTCAATGCTATGAAAGAACATGCTCGGTTACAAGTCCAAAAGAAGCCTTAAATGCTGTTGTGTAGAAAAATCACTGCATACCTCCAAAACTCTGGATCTTAGGAGTGGTTAGAATGATAAAGGTTTGGACGGACGACGAAGTTGAAGAAAAGAAGCTAAAAGCTAGACGAAATATCTTGTTCCATTGCCATTAGATGATCTGCAGACCTGAACGGGGTCGAAATGTATCTGTATGGGACGCTTTCCGATTTTGTAAAGGACAGTTTTCATTTTATATAGAGGATTCTCGGTCAAATGTACCCCGCTTGCCATAATTGCCCCTATCAACTTCCATAATTAGAGATGGCGAAAGGAAAAGTGACCATGCAATTTTTCTTTAAAATATATTTCCACAGCTTTGAATAGGAGCATTGACTAGTCCCTTGCGTCTGCCTCCTTTGCTTCTCAGACAAGATTTTCTTCCTCCATATAACAATATCATTTGAAGTTACATTTACATACATCAGGATCAGTGAAAGTGATAAATGCCACAAGAAACAATAGTTTTAAGCTTATTTGGGAGCTTTGCAAAACATGAGTTATGGCCAGATACTGAATGTCTCCGAATTAAAATAAGAGAGCATATTAGACTCAGATCTTATCTTCAACTACAGATCTTTTGAAAAATCTATTGATCCCCCCAACCACATTATCTCGAAATGAGTGGTTCAGATAGAGAGCAGCAAGTAGATTGGTATGTGATTAAAGGCCAAGAAAGTTATTCTATGTTAAAATCAAAAAACTTTCACATACTGTGGGAGAACTTGTTTTTAAGAAAGCTATTTTTCGCAACACTTATTAGAACAGTCTCCCTTTGATAAGGCGCCCGATTTAGATAGCCCAGGACCACCACCAGAAAGTATATGTGTCTGAATTTGCGTAGAACTACTTATCATTGGATAAGATGGTCAGTTCTTTACTCTTCTAGCTCTTCAATCAGTGTGCCTGAGCGACCAATAATGTGACTCATCTCCATAGCAAGTTTCAACAAGGAGGCTATTCTCCTTCGCGAGCAAAGAGATTGCCCGGATGAGAATCTCCTTCTACTTTTAGAATATTCACTGGAGCTTGGAATACCCCAGTTTTCCAAGTCAATGATATCACATGTAATAGATTACACATTCTCTAAGTCATACCGCGTACCTCACACACCATTATGATAGTGGCCATAATTGTGGCACTGCTCTTCATTGCTAATAATTTTCTTCAACGCCTTTCCAATAGATGTAAATTACCCTTCAGTCTTGATTTCTAAGGTCATAATCCTTAAAGAAAAGGAATCGAAAGTTACCATGAAACTAGAAGTAAATTATTCACCTTTTCGCAAAATGCTGATGTTTGTTACATGAAGCTTATTTAAGCCGTTTCCATAAGATTTTCGTTTTGTAAACCTACTAATCCGGAAAAGCCTATAACCTTGTCTAAGAAAAATATATCGAACCTCTGAAAGAAGAACAGTTTCCGTGCCTACGGCGTTATTCACCTTTCCGCAAAGAGCTAATGTTTATTACATGTGGCTTATTTAAGCCACTCCCATATGATTTTCGTTTAGTAACCCTACTAATCCAGAAAAGACTACAACCTTATCTAAGAAAAATATATCGAACTTCGGAGAAAAAATTTTTTGTGCCTACGAAGTTCCTAAGGCAAATATTCCCCTCTTCTTTACGAAGATTCTGTCGAAAAACACCGATACATCCTCACTCTAACAGGAAGTCCTGCGCCCAGAAAACATGAGACTCAGATAACATGCGCATCATGTCTCAAATGACACACAGAAAAGCTTAAAAATACATTTCCTTGTATTCTATTGCCTATAGAAATTTTCAAGATGGTGCCTTCTTTTTTTAGAAAATATAGACTCCATAATAGTGGTTGAGTTTTATCTTGTTGCTTTTTGAGTAAAGCCTATCCTCTTCTGTCTCTACTGGGAAGGTGCGCTAAGAATATATACAGCATACGAGAAAGACATTTTGCTTCATATATTGGCGAAAAGGAAAGGAGACGATTTATACCAATTAGGAAACAAGAGTCTACTGAAGTTAAAAGATTTACCGGTCTCAAATAGTATATAATCTCCTGCTTAACGATCACTTGAAGTGCTTAACCATAATCTCTGCTAATCATCAGTGTCCGTGTTTGAAAAAGATTCTTACCAAGTAACTTTTACGATGCGAACGACTGGGTTAAATTTGCTGCTGCTAAATAGTAGCTTTCTGACCGTATTTACAAATGCCTTGGAAGTGACGAGCAATACAGTTGTCAGCACAGGAGACACCTTGTATACAGACGCAGTAACAATTGATGAAAATGCATATCTTGCAATAATCACAGGCTACACGCACAACTTCTATTCTGATTTAACTGTCAATGGTGCCTTGTATATTGGGGACTATAATACACAGCATTCAGGTATTACAGTGGATGTTATTGGTACGACGAACGTTGTAACAAACAATGGTATAATAGTTGTTGATGATAGAAATGCAACATCCGCTCCAACTTACGACTGGAGCGGGGGAGACTTCTACAATTACGGTAATTTGTTTTTCAACGGCAGAGGGGATACTGGCGGCTCAACATACTGGATAAATCCATATTCGACATTTATCAATGAAGGAATTATAATGTATTCACAAACAATTTCGAGAAGTGGGGGTTCAATGCATCTGGGAAGGGATGATTCTACCATTACCAATGACGGCACTATCTGCTTGGTCAATGCTCTCTATTTCCAGGGAAGTACTATCAATGGAGATAATGGCTGTATTAATATTGGCCAAAACAGTAATATGTGGGTAACAAATACGAACACAAGAAAGCTGTCTGGCCAAACAATATACATGTCCTCTAACTCTTCAAGTCTCAGAATCGATGCATATCCACCTGGTTTTACTTTTAACGTTAGAGGATTTCAAAATGGTAACGTGATAGGCTCCAGTACAGCAATATCAAGTTTCAGCTATGATCAAACCAGTGGTACTTTAACAATGAATGTTGGATCATATAGCTATTCTTTAGATATTGGAACTGGTTATGACAATTCCAAGTTTTATACTGCTGATGCGAATTATGGCTCTGGTGTAGGTACAGTCCTTTCTGGTGGCTTATACTACAACGGAACAGTATCCGATGAAATGCCTGATGAATGTCAAGTATGCCCTGAAATTCCATGGTTTACTTATGAAAATTCTATTTCATCTAGCAGTTCGTTTACGATTCCAACTCCATACACTACTACGGAGACAACTAATAGCAGTACCTATACCGAGATCGTCTCGTACAGCTCTACTAATAGCGATGGAACACCCGCTACCGCTACTACTACTTACACATTGAGTGGATCGAGTAGTTCAAGCACCGATGTGTTCACGATTCCATCCCCTTATACCACGACCGAGATTGCTGACGGCACTACCTACACCGAAATTGTTTCCTACAGTTCGACCAACAGTGACGGCACACCAGCTACTGCTACCACTACGTACACATTGAGTGGTTCGAGCACCTCAAGTGCGTTCACCATCCCATCCCCTTATACCACGACCGAGATTGCTGACGGCACTACCTACACCGAAATTGTTTCCTACAGTTCGACGAATAGCGATGGAACGCCCGCTACTGCTACTACTACTTACACATTGAGTGGATTGAGTAGTTCAAGCACCAGCGTGTTCACCATTCCATCTCCTTTTACCACAACCGAGACCACTGATGGTAGAACCTTCACCGAGATCTTCTCCTACAGCTCGACCAACAGTGACGGAAAGCCCGCTACTGCCACCTTCACCTACACTTTGAGTACATCCGCTACCTCGAGTACCAGTGTGTTCACCATTCCACCTCCTTACACCACGACCGAGACCACTGATGGTAGCACCTTCACCGAGATCTTCTCCTACAGCTCAACCAACAGTGATGGAAAGCCCGCTACTGCTACCTTCACCTACACTTTGAGTACATCCACTAGTGGATCGACTACCTCGAGCACCAGCGCGTTCACCATTCCACCTCCTTACACCACGACTGAGACCACTGATGGTAGCACCTTCACCGAGATCTTCTCCTACAGCTCGACCAACAGTGATGGAAAGCCCGCTACTGCTACCTTTACCTACACTTTGAGTACATCGACTACCTCGAGCACCAGTGTGTTCACGATTCCACCTCCTTACACCACGACCGAGACCACTGATGGTAGCACCTTCACCGAGATCTTCTCCTACAGCTCGACCAACAGTGACGGAAAGCCCGCTACTGCTACTACCGTCTACACTTTGAGTACATCCACTGAGTCATATTTTTGCTCTTCTCGAGTTTCGTCTTCTGCATTCTTCAGGAATACGACCACAGAAGAATCTGCTTCAACATCGACCGAACCCACCACTGTATTCTTGACCACAACTTCTTCAAGTAACTACCCTGCAGCCTCTAATACCTTGGAATCCTCGGTGACTAATGCATCAAGGGATATGTCATATCGGACGGAAACCACAATCACGTCAATCAATACTAAGGATGGATATTCGACTGTTAGCAGTGTAGCCACGCCATCGAGCTCCAGAAGACCACTTGCAACATCTAACATACCCACTGGAAACGTTGTAGGGTCGACTGAATCTCGAGTTGAAGAGCATATGAGTAACACCTTGACTTCTTATTCTTCCCAAGTTGTTTCCTCCTCGACAACTAAGTTGCTAA